GCCCCCTTGAGACCTGGTCTGGCTGTTAAATCTGAACGCAGAGAAGTGAATGCATCATAGGTGAAATGTGAAATCCATTATGTATTGTACTAAGCTCAAGCAGAAATAAAAGCATAGCTTATGGGATACTAGCAGCTGGAAATTCTTCTCTTTAGAGTGAGTGATGATGGTTCAAACTGCATCTCTCCCTAATAGTTCATGGACATTAGATACAGTTTTTGAACTGGCTTGAGCTGTACCTTCATGAAGTTATTTGGGAAACATACCAGGAATTTGTTGTCTGGTTCCAAACTCTCATCATGCAGGTAATCCTATGGCTGGCTATGGTACTTGTCTAAATTACTGTAGTGTATATAAAGAAGAGTGGATCCTCTGCCCATCCCCTACTCAGTGAGATATTAGAAGTAAGGCAGTTAATTACGAAGTCAATATATAGGAGAAACTTGGTATTGTCATGAACAACAAAAATCAGATTATACTACTGAGGCCAGTGATGCACCATTGACACTTCACAAAATGAAGTATAGCAATGTTAAAGCATTATGAACACAAATAGCCTTAAGCTAGAAGGAATGGACAATGAATCCTACTTATACAGTGTAATCGAAGTGTAAGTTAGGGGAAGGGAAACCTGAGCCGTGAAGAACAGAGAAACAGAAGTCTTAATAGCTGTACCTTGTAAAGGCAGAGAGAAAGGCAAGGCTTTTTTTATTTTAAAAAATTAATTTGTAAAATTTTAATTAAAAAAGTCTGACCACTAGTCTTTGAAAAACCAGGCATACGTCGAGCCAAAAATGCCCTGCTTCAGCTGAAGGACACTGAATATCAGAGTAATGTAAGGTTATCAACTATGATAAGGAAATTCAATACTCTCTCCATAGCAGCAGGCAGGGAGGGGTGCAACATTAACTCCAGGATACCCACACATTTAACAGCTGCCAACCTTTATAAGAAGTTGCTACTATAAATAATGGTTTTGACTTGCCTACAAAGCAAATTCAACAGAATATTACTGTAGCTTTTGCCAAGTTACTGCTCTTTCAGCATAACACCAGAAATATGCAAAAAGGAATTCCGAGCCATACAGCTATTATCAAACCAGGACAAGAGGACATTGCAAAGTAATTATCCATGACTTCTTTACAGTAAGAGAAATAATGCTCCTGGAAACACAGTCCAATGTTATTTCATGTTAGAATTATGTAATGAATTGCTGCTGGGTGGTTTGGAAGATGAGCTCACACTTTTACACAACTGCCAATGGGTACCAACTTTCAGAAGCTAGATAAGCTATTTTCTAACTGCATGTTTTGCTGTGGTTGCTGAGGAAAGCAGTAACATTTTGACTTCATAGTGTCTGTTTGTTTAACAGTCTTTGAAGACCTCTCACAATCTGTACTATAAAAATGATGAGTCTTAAAGTGCTTTTCCAAGTTAAATAATTGTAAAAGTAGGATTTCTTTTCCCTATTGCCCATTCAGTTTTTCCCTAACTGTATGTTAAAGCACCAAACTCTCTCAGAACTCCTCCTTATAAATTCAGCACATGTTTCATGACTATCTCAGTTTTGTTTCTGATGAAGTTTCATGTTTAGTGACATTTTCTTTCTGTATGTCAATCACTTCATTCTGTCAGTTTGTTTCACAAAGTAGCCATAAAGTATTTTAAGAAGGATTAATCTTCCTTGCAGTCAGGAAAGCATCAAACTGAGTTTTGGGAATGATTTCAAGTTGACACAGACACTTTAAAAGAATGAATAGTCTTTTTTAACATCATTACATCAGTCAACACTGTGTGAAACATAATTAAATGTCAAGCAGCTGACTAGAGAACTGTGGCATCTTCCAGTGACTTCAAGTCTTTAGGTTAAATCAACAAAGCCAGAGTGTTCATTTAAGAATAGGGGTTTTTTTCCCTATTTCATCAATAATTTATATTGGTGTCCCCTCCATTTAAAAATAAAACATCAATGCTTCTTTACTACAACACGTGGTAGCTTGTTGCAGATGTTCAACTTGTGATAGAAATTCTCAGCTTAGAACAGAAAAAGCAAGTAATGATGATTTATTCCAGTATTCCTAAAGCAATCATAGATAACCCGTTACGCTTTCTGCATTGTCTTACAATTCAGTTTAACTGTTGAGCAAGATTATAGCACTAGTGTAAGTTCCAGATCAACAGAAGACACTCAAGATATAAGTGTACAAAATCTCACCACTAACTGCTTTTATACTAACTAGTCTTGGTCAAAAATGTGCTTGTTTTATTCACTTGCAATATGCTTGGCTTGAACACATGCAAAAAAGAAAAACAGTATATCTTGCCCGGCCTTTACAATTTGTCTATGCATATCTTAATTTATGCAGTCTACATCATACTATTCATAGGCTTGTATTAAAGCTCGATTTATTTCAGCTGTTGTATTCACATTTTTGCAGTGAAAAGCAGTGTTACTAGGAAATAGCATTTTATTAAGAAACAAGGCACAAGAGTCCATTACTCATATTATGCAATTCTCATCAAGTAATACATGCTGTAAGATCCCATAGACAAAGACTCAGCATTAAAACCCACTTCCTGCCTGCAATACTCATGTCTTCAAAGCAGGAAAGCAAGTTATCTCCAATTCTTATTTCCCTGGCAACCATGCTCTGAAGATGATGGCCTATGATTCAGAGTGCTACAAAAGCTTTCAAAGCTCTTTTTGCCCTGTGGTAAGGTTCTCTCGCATATGTGCAAGGTAATTATTTCAGTATCCTGAAGGCATGGTCTACCAGCAGCTGTTCAGACTGGAATCCTCCCACAATCCATGTCCCACTAAAAGAATGCAGCCACCAAGTGAATAAGATGATTCTCCAAGAAACCAAGGAAAATGCCAGTATCAGTTTTACCCCTTGTCACTTCTCAGAAAGGATCTGCTGCTCCCCCTTTCCTAAGAAGTGGGGGTTAGAGTGATCCCACTATAATGAACTTTCCCATTCTTTATCATCTCTATGATTAAACCACAAGTCACTATTCAGGCTTTGACTAAGTCTGCAGGAGAAACGGGGTAGGAAGAAGGGTATAACACCTATCTCCTCCATCTCTGTTGGGACAGCATGTGAAAAGCCACTGGAAGCCTCAGGAGTACTGATCAGCTTTATAGCTTTTGCACATTCCTAACAGGAGCAATGCTTCACACAAGAGTTTAATGGTTCATCCGTCTACTCCAAACTGATGAGGAGAGGTCCCAGAAAGAGGCACTACTAGTACAGCTGTATGCAAGTTTCTGAAAAGCATCCTGATCTTTGGAAGCCTCTACTCACCCTCCCTGTTTAGATGAGCCCTGAAGCAGTGCTGTGCTACCCTGCACATAGTTCAGGACAAGAGATCCTTTGAGCACAACTTGTTAGTACCTTCTTTTTAAACCCCAAGGAGAAATGACCAGCCTGCCCTCTCAGGTGCTATGGGGCAGAGGTAGTCAAGGGGATGCCAACCTGCATCACCTACAGGATGATCTACTACTCAGATTACAATGCTTACAAATACCACAACTGTATCACAGGGTTCTGTAGGTATTGTATGAAAGCAGTGCTAGTGAATTGGGAAGAAGAGATGGCATGATGAAAGGTGACAGTTTGATTTTAAAGCCCATAATTCCCACTCACTGTGAGTGGCTTCTGATGAACATCTGGTTTAGGGATGCAGCTATTTCAGTCAGATAATGCTGTCCTGTATTGTTCACCCAAATTGTCATGCAAGTTCCTTAAGTCTTCAAACATCTGTCCCAAAGCTTAAGCTGCATCTACATTTCTGTGGGTAAATAGTTACAATAATAACAGCAAGACAAGACTGATCTGCTCTGTTTAACTATTGATATAGCATATTTGAAGGCACATCTGTTGAATAAATTCAGAAGGTATTATGTGACTAGTTACAGGATAATTCTCTAACATCCCAACACTACTATTATTCAGGTAAGATGCCTATGCCTTCTGGTCCAAAACCTGTGCATGGCCGTCCCTCTCTATCCACCCCTCCATTTCATAACCCAATGCAACAAGCCAAACACAAACTTTGTCGTCTCAAGGACTTTAATAGCACTGGCCAATTGGGAATAATAAAAACAAGTACAAATGATGTCATAGTAAAGGCAAAAATATCAAGATAACATAGGAAGTATTAATTCCTGCTAATTAAATGAGGTAGCAAGCTGACTAACTGATGGGGCTGAATTTTTATTTTTAATAATTTCTTAACAGCAGGGAACAATTTTTGCAGATTAATTAAGAAAGCTGCTTTCAGATGAAGTACATAAGTAAAATGGAAGGAAAGAGATAACCATCAGGTAGCTTTGAAGACAATATTTGCTTTCTACTTGGACTGACACCTCATTAACATAGTTCTGCTTAAATTCAGTGTTCAAACAAGCAGAATGCTCCTCTGCTGAAGATGGGTTGTGTTGCTGTAACGTAGAAAAAACATGCCCCAGGAATCCTATTAGATCAATAATGTATGTGGCTGCACAAGGAATGTAGGCAAGACAACCAAAGAACTGAGAGTAAAGATCTGACAGTGGATCAGTTAATAGCTGCTAGTCCACTGTCACTAGTTACGTGACAGATGCCTGCAGAACTATCTGGCCTCCTCACAGATCCAGTTTAGACTGCATCATTGATCCCAACCAGGACCAGGGTATTATTGCTGCAGTCAGCTCTGTTTTAGGGCTCAACCCAAATCCTACCAAATTCACTTTGAGCTTCTCTTTTTACTCCAATGCCAGTTAGAGCAAGCATTTATCCAGGCAAAGAATGACCCCAAAATAAAATGAAGAATTAGTGAGACCAAAATTCCTGATCACTGTCCATAATTGGACTAAAGTAAAAAGTTGTTCTATTTCTTTTGCTTTTGTATCACTTGAAACATTTAAAGTGCAGTTTAAGAACATCTCTGGAATCAGAAGTCTGCAGTTCGAAAGTAATTTTCCCACTTAAAAGATGATTCATTATTAAAAACAGGTCTGTACCATCTTCAGTAATCAAAAAAAATAGTTATAAAAATAGAGATTTGAAAATAGAATGAAATCACATGTACTAGGTACCATTTCTAGTGTAAAATTGGTTTTTAGTTTATGAAAAATATCTTTCCTTTAAAAAAAGCATAGGCTTACAGTTATTACAACTAAGAAGGTCCACAGAATTCCTATTAAACATTATACTCTAGGCTTCTTGACAGGTGGGTCCTGCAGGCTGAACTTAGGAATTTCACATGAAGAAGCAAAAGGAATTCTTTTGGCTGACACCTTCTTCCCAATTGTTTCAATCTGAAAGAGAAAAGACATTTAGGAAGTGAGTGTGGGAAGCTAACAGAATCATATCAGCCTATGAGGAATTTACAAACTAAATCCAGGACCATGAATACATTTCATGAACACTAGACTAATACAAGCCACAAGGCACAGTGTGCCCAGGGACAGTTTTGGGACTGGAGTTGCAAAGTTTTAAAAAAAAATAATTCTGTCATAGGTGCCTACTTTGCTTACTTCAAACTGCATCTTGCTAATTTGAAAATTCACGTGCCTCAACTTCCATAGGCCTATCAGCACAAGTATCATAAAATGTTTCTGGGTGTTCAGAAAGTGTGGGTTTGGCCTCCATTGTCTAAATATTTATATCCAGCAAATTAGAAGAAGCTTTTTCCCCTCCTTAATGCAGTGAGATGTTTTTGAAACAGACTCCGAAAAGCTAAAGGCAGCCTACTCTATATAAGAAAAAGTATGTAACAAAGCTGACACACATATAAGCCAGGTACTGCAAAATTCAAAGAGTGAGACAGGTTCTCCTAATTTTTAGGTAAATCACTAAGGACAGAACTTGTAGAAGACAAAACATCATGTGGTAAAATAGTTCAGATGCCCAGTAAGCGAGGACAGCTGTAGCTTTCCTCTTAAGTAGTACAGGTAAAATGCAAAGTACCAAAAGACAAAATACCTCCATTTAAACTATCTTAATTAATAAACTTAACAAATTTAATATATTCTAGACATACATCTGAACTGACTGTTTACACAACTCTTTTCAGAGTGTGCTGATGTAAACAAACAGTTATGTCAGCTACACACACCATATCTGTCCATAACAGCTTCAGTTGACTGGTTAAAGCAGTTTCTACAAGCCCATTCACACACAGTGTAATAATCACATTTAGTGTAAGCAGGGAAAAAATAGCAAGAGAGAAAGTCTGTTGCCATGATGCAAGTAATCACAGTACTTAAAAGTACACAGAATGAAACACAACCAAAACATGTATCTGATCTGGCTTGTAGGTTTTGTTCTGATTGTACCTATCCAAGATGCTTCTATCAGATTATTCAGGTAATTTTAGTATTAGTCAAATTCTGTGCTTCAAGGCACGCTTATGCTACTGAATGTTGATGGCATAGGATGATGTAGCTTGGATTTTAACAGAGCATTGGTCTACAAAAACAAGAAAGTACTCGAGGAAGAGAGCAGAACTGAAGAGACTTAAGCACAGATAGTTTTAGATTTAAATGTTCACCTGAAGACATTTTTCCCCTTGCTACTCAGTCATTGTAGAGCAAAATCAAGAAGAAAGAGAGCAGAAGGAAAGAAACGTAAGACACAGCATCACCCATCTCATTACCTGGAAGCCAATGACTTGTAGCTCATTGTGAAGATCATCTAGAACTCTCCTACCATCAAAGATAAATGCAGGCTTCAGCATCTTCTTATGAATACGTTCATAATCCAACTCCTGTGAAGGGCAATTAAAGCAGACAGAATAGATAAATAGCATAACACTTCCCTTTTTTTTAGTTTAATTTGAAAATAACATTTTTACCTTAAACATGTCCCATTCAGTGCAAATTACAAGGGCATGAGCTCCATCGCAGGCTTCATAGGGATCTTTACTTATAGTGACCAACCGAGACACTGCAACAGAAGGAAAAGAAAGTTTTATTCCGCACACATCTTTAGCATCAAACTAGTGCACTGCTGGCAAACTAGCCTCCTTCCTTGCCCTACTCAGACAAAGAGAGTTTCAGGTCACTCATCTAGAGATGTTTTCTGTCAAGACATTCGTCACTTTGATTTCACTTATTTAAATGAAAGCAGCTTGTACCTGGCTTCTGAATAGAGTCAGGGCACTTAAATGTTTGTTAAGCATTCAAATTTGATTTAAACAGTCAAGAGTATCTCTAGAACTAGAGGTTACTAGGAGTGTTCAAATGTCAACCTTCATAAAGGTCATTGCCTGTACAACAGCAGCGCACCACAGTTCCTATTTAGCACTCAGTTCACACTAGAGAAGATACACATCTTGCTAGGCATTGCCTTTATCCTTTCGCCACCTCAGCAGCTGCCTAATGGCAACCCTCCCATTCCCCTCTAATTCAAGGGCATGTCAAATGATGTACACCCTCCACTCCATCACAGCTCATTCCTCCATTCTCTTCACTTCCACAAGTCTGATCTTTCTCCCCCAACCATCATCTCCATTCTTCTCCACCACAATAACGGAAGAAAAAGATCCCAAACACCCCCTGCTTCTCTCCCCCAAAATTTCTAGTCATAGATTATTACTTCAAAGTCTTCCCTAATTTCAGGGAACAGATTAGTTTGTAAGTGATATGGGGGAGGGGAGAATGCTCTACAGTGAATTCCAGAGTTATTTCTTTATTTCGACTTCACATATGCGAGCAAGAACTAAGGCAAGATAGGACTCAGGACACAAAGGAGCTGACAGAACACCACTAGTCTTTCCTACTTCTAGACATTCTTCTTTCTCTTCCCTTTTAATTATGCAGAGAGAAAATTATTTGCATGTATTCAAGTGTATATTTATCAAAAGAAAAAAAACAATAGTACAGAATTAGCAGTTATCTATAAAAGCTATAGGGAAAGGGGGAAGAGTTACAGTAACCCCTCTGAGCCATGACCATCCTCTAGTAAATGTAGCCAAAATACATCACTGGCATGGTGAAAATGAGAAAATGAATTTATAAAAAACAGACCTTGTGTATTTTGAGAATAGGGTGGGATTTTCCTTCTTCAGGGGGTTGGTGGAGGGGTATGGAATAAGCATTACATGAGCATTCTTACCTTGGTTATCTTCTGAAACACCTGGATGTGAGAGATCCAAGATTATTTGTTCCTTAGGTACTTTAGGATCATAGATATGGAGCTTTGCTCCTTCATCCATTAAATACTTGCTAATGTAGATACTGGATGACTCTCTAGGGAAGTGAATCAATCAGTTAGAGAACCAGTTGGCATGTTCTAAGTAACAAAAGTCTCCAAGTGTCATGATATGCAATGCCAGAACTTTTATAAGAGCTTTACATTAAACACCTTTGTGGTAATCCATGCCTGCAGCAAACTTGAAATCTTGAGGGATGCCAAGGAAAGTAATACAAAAAACAAGTTTACATCTCTGTTGCTGAATCATGCGAGAGCTTCTAAGCCCCAGGATTCCTATTGACTGTAATTAGCAAGGCACCAATCTTATAAAGCATTCCCCATAAACTGCAGTTGGAGAGGGCTGTGTAAAGTTTGAGCTTTACAGGAAAACAGAATTAATCACCTTTGGGAAACAAAGCTGAAACTTGGGCTTCACATAGCAATTTAGAGTCAGTTGCAAAAATGTTTGCACTCTTCTCTGGGGAAAATGGAAGGACTCTGTCAAAAGTCTAGCTTTGCTTATGCGAGTTAAGAAGGACTCAACGCACCAAGCCTCTCAGTGTTTAAGACTCATTTGGACAATGCCCTTAATAACATGCTTCAACTTTTGGTCAGCCCTGAAGCAGTCAGGCAGTTGGACTAAATCATCATTGTAGGTCACTTCCAACTGAAAATATTCTCTTCTAGAGTTACCTGCTTTAGCTTCTGAATGATTCAGGAATGTTGTAGAGGTCAAGAATCAATTGTCTCACCCATTTAAGGTAGACTAATCCTTGTTACAAATTAATCCAGTCAGAAGAGGATAAGGGTCTCATATCTGCTCTGTTCTTATTAACAGAATTGAACTGGTAGGTTTAGATGCATAGCTGGTGAAGAGTATGGGGAAACCATATTAATGAAATGCATTCACTTTCTTACCTTGTGTCTCCAGTATCCTTTTTGAATGCAAACCCTAAAATAGCAATTTTCTTATCAGTGACAGTATTGAACAAACTGTCAATAATGCGGGAAGCAAATCTTCTTCTCTGATAATCATTCATGTCTATTACCTGAAATTATATAAAGCGTGATGACACAGAAAGGAACCATTTTAAACTATAAACAGATTCTATTAACAATCAAGCCAAGCTACCCACACAAGTTTAACAGATGCTGAAAAAAATAAAGCTAAGTATTTTTGCTCAGTATCATAAGTAGTCCAAAGATAAACTCAGTTAATTTTTCAAATTCTGAGACAAATCCTATTTCAACAGTGACTGTAGATGCACATACACACATACTATGTTGCATTACCTGGTTTAAAGGCTAGGATTCTTTCAGATTGCTTTTTTTTGTTTTAAATCTACAGCTTATTGTATTGTATTCCAGGCAGACACATGGAAAGCAATTGCAGTGTTAGAGTACTTGATGTCACATAGACATCCCATTGCCAGACCTGCTATGTACATAACAACTGTGAGAACATTTTTAGCTTTTTTAATCTACACTAACAGATTTCAGTGCACAAATCTAGCGTGGTTAAACCAGATTTTTAAGTGCCCCACTTTTGTTGTTACATGCAAGTGTGTTCACTCACTCCGATTGTTCCTGTACTTTCCTCACAGCCTGTTCATTTCTCCCACCCTTAATGCACACAGGGCACTGGATCACTAGTAAAACATGAAAGGTAGGTTCCCCCACCTAGTCAATGTTCAACATGGACTGGAAAGAACTATACTTTCCTCTCTGTTTTGAGACTTTCAACCCAAATCAAGAATTAACAGCAGCAGCCTATGAAACCTAAGGTATATGCAGTAGAAGGATATTGGTGAACCAGGTTTGAGGACAAGAAATAAAAGCAGTGAGATTTATGCAATTCAACAGGGTGGTGATGGGGAACAAAGGTTAACAGTTGACAGGGTAAGAGGGACATTTCTTTCTGTAGGTATGTTTTCAAGTAATGAAGACTTTGGCATTAGAGAGCCCTGTCCCGTCTAAAGGCCGGAGTGAATAGAAGTTTGCTGGGGCTGCTCTGATCTGCATATCCTCCAGAATTTACATCCTGTCCTCAGACTGGTCTGAGGTCTCCCATGTGCATGCACTGGGATGAGCTGCTGAAAGTGCAATGCTCAGGCCACAAAGAAGGGGCTCACACAGTTCCTTATACAGGCGCATGTGTGTGTGCATTACATGAGTTAACCAGTGTGGGCTGGGGCAGATAGACCTCTGCAGGATGACAGTGCTCTGACGAAGCAGGAGGTGCAGGTCAGGGGTTGCCCAACATAAACACAGCACTCTTCACCTTATGCTAACTCCAAAGCAGCTGTTCTTACTATCCAATTTGTCCACAGCTTAATAAGCCATAGAGAAACACTGCAAAGAGTTGCTCTTTTCCCCTATACATCAGATTATCACTGAGGTAACATGGTTTGCTGCTGCAGCTCCTGCTGCTCCAGGGATTGCCTGCTGTATGGTTACATCTCATACCAAGTAAAAGCAGTAGTTCTTCAAGCAAATACCAGAACCTAGGGCTCTCTTTCCTACTGTGACCATGTATCCAACTACCAGACTGAACCAAACCTCTGCCGGATGCTTGCACAAGTTTCATGCAGAATGTCAGTCTCAGCTTCACTGTTGGGTTTGCAAGCTTCTGCACCATGGACTAGACTATCCTAATGAAATATGCTTCTTAAGGAAGATGTCAATCTGAACCTCTTCAGAAGCAGACAGCATAAACCCCCATCTTCCTTGTCCCAAACAATTGATGTAGGAGGCATGCTATAGTGGCAAGCAAGTAACTAGGTGGCTGACTAGGCCCTGGCTGGAGGTTAAACTAGCTGAACAGGATGTAGAAAGCCATTAGACATCACAAATAACGTAAGAAGCTAACAAATATTACAGATAGCACTGTGAGGGATCACTGAGTTTTACAAGTGGTTGTGGTGGAGTTACTAGCAAGACCTAGCCAAGTTTCAGATAATCAGAAGGGACTATTAGGGACCTTTTAGGGAAGAGAACCTTGCAAAGTCAGAGCCTACATAACCCCATCAACAGTACCACATGGCCATGACAACCTAGATACAGGTAAAAGAAATGCCAGTATGGATGTGGCACAACTGACCAATGATGTACAAGTAATTATGGGCAGCTGCCAAATAAACAACCTGACTGGGATGGAGAAAAGTGAGGGGAGAGAAAGGCTAGCCAAAGGGAAGACTGGAAAAAGGAAAGCTGCTAATAAGGTAGGGAAATAATGCACTTGGTATTCTGGTGACACCTGCTAGGCAGCCTTGTACTTGACCACTGCAGCCTAAATCAGGATGATAAAACAAAGCTGTTCTCTTAACCATACCACATATGTCACAGCTGCTTTCTCAGTCAGGACTGGGAAAAGGGGTTAGGTGCTTTCACTGGTTAATAGGGAAATGCTAGTACAAACTGAGCATCGTGGTACTCCTGCATGGGTGCTAGGTCTGAGAGTATCCACATCTCCCCAACCATTCCTAACATTAACCAGGGAACAGCAGCAACCATATTTATTTTCAAGAATAACAAGTTCTGCTGTGTTCTTTCAGAAAAGAAACTGTAAAAGTAAACCCTGAGGAAAAGGTCATAAGCTCCGAGTTCAAAGTGGACAGAGATAATCAAGTGCAAGAGGAAGACAGAAGTCCAGACATGCCTGTATTTCACATTTTCTACTGCTACTTCTAGACAACTTCCCAATCCATTTGATGCAGACAACCTCAAAAAAGTCTAAGCACTCACAATTATCAAATGCCAGTGTTAGGCTGAGGGTGCTAAAACGTAAAAGTGATCGACATAAAGGTATCTGCTCCTTAAAGCTGAAACACAGATTATACATGGACAGTGCTCAAAAACTCAATGCCTGAAAGCTGAATGCTGAAAAAACATGCTCCCCCCCCAAAAAAAAAATTTGTGAAGAACTTGTACCTGTTGCCAGTAGCGGGCTACTTCAGGCAAGTTCAGTGCCTCACAGAGGTACACTAAATTCAAGACATCCTTCTGAAAACAGCTACCTCCAAACCCTGAAAGAGAAAATGGTTATTTTACAGGTGACTAAGGTACCATTCTAACCCAATCTTTAGAAACAAGTAGTTTTTGGCAATCATTGACATAGTCAGCATTATGACTTTTCCCAGTATTTCACTGCTAGCACCTTAAGAATCTCTCAACATCCAACTCCTGGACCTAATTACTTTGTCAGCTACAGAAGCCCTAAAATCTGCTTCAGGTTCCACTGAAGTCAATGTAAGTTTTAACCCAGTCTCAGGGAAATATACAATAAGACAGCCCCTATTTTTTTTTCTTATTAGAAACAGGTAGACAAGCTCCTGCATTTGCTCTCTCTCCACCTAGAGACTTAGATTAACACTTCTCAGAACAAGTATGTTAAGATCAAGTTCTTTCCTCCTCCACACCCAAATGGATATCTAACTATTGCCAAGAATCAAAGATCACCACAGCTGACTAAGGGAGAAATGAGACAAGACAGGGATCCTTGACCGCCAGAACTTGGCTCACGTCCCAGAAGCAGCACATTGTAGAAGGAATTATAGTAACCTAGTAGGAATTTTGGTAATATATTTGCTATCTACTTTTCACCGTTGCATAGACTCTGAGAGGTTCTATCTAATGAGGTTATTTTAAAGTTACACTTTCCCTTCCTAGCATGAAGGCTGTAGTCTCATACAGATAGGCTTCAGTCCATAAGTTTGAAAGTCTATTGTACCGATTACCACTTCAGCACATCTTGCTCTCTAGTAAATCTAAACAACTGAATCCATCCTACAAATGAGAAGTTGGCATCACACATTGTGACCTAGAGGTGTTCCCTTCCTCAGGCCACTGGCAGCAACTCCCAAACAAAATTGCAGCAGTCACAATTGGGAAGACATCTTTGAGAGCACTATGATCAGTGATGCTTCAGAAAAAGAGTTGCAAATTTTCTTTCCAGTGTCCCAAGCAAGATAAACCATACACACTGAACTCTTGGGTTTCAGATTGCCAGCATCTAGAGCAACCTCAATCCTAGACACTTTACCAGAAAAAATGACTTATGACAGTACTCTACAGAAATATTTTCACACACTCATACTGTAGAAGATTTCTGAGTATCAGATCACTTATTTCAAAACACTACTAGAAGACCCATCGCACTATTAAACAGAAACCCAGAAAAAAAAAAGAAAATAAAATGAATTTTCATTTACCAACACTGGCTTTGAGAAACTTGTTTCCAATTCTTTGGTCTGTCCCAATAGCTCTTGCTACTTCTTCAACATCTGCTCCTGTAGCTTCACACAGAGCACTGATTGAATTGATGCTGCTGATTCTTTGGGCAAGAAAAGCATTAGCTGCCTGTAAATAAAAAACATAGTGAAGAGAACTTGATTCTTTCAAAACCCAAGATGCCCATCAACCAAAGGGAGTTACTACTGGAAGAATTACATTAGTGTCTATGAAGGATTACACTAGTATTTAAGTAACTCTGTTGAGCTACAAAATGGTAACATAAATAGTTTAATACATAACTGCCAGTTAATGGGATCTAAGCAAAATGTAATGCTTAACTTGCAGAGTTTGAACCACTTTGTGATGGCAACCAGTTTCTGCAGCACTGGAGGCTTACTCTTAGTAATAGATAACACAGCAATAAAAGTGGAAAAAGATTTCATGGAAAGCTGATATCATCTATTAGCTCAACTGAGATAATTGGAAAATATTAATATCCTTTGACATATAACACTGGATCCTCCCAGCCTCTGTCTTTCCTAGCTGCATCGCTCAGTATCAGGGAACTTCTGCTTCTGAGCTTTGTTCTGCTTACACTCTTTGCTCATTGCAGACAACAGCAGTGAGAAACACTAACCAGTTTAGAAAGTTCTGATGACCAAGTATTTGTTGTGAGGATTTTTTCTTTAGGCACCCAGTGCTCATAAACAGCACAAAGAGCACGGACAGCTTTCTGTCCCTCTGGAGAATCATCTCCACCAATAAGCACTCTGTCTGGGTTCTTCAGGTCCTTGATGGCCGTCCCTTCTGCAAGGAACTCTGGGTTAGACAACACCTACAGGCACAGAAATAAAAAAAGAACACATAAAAGCCAAAAGCAACACCCAGCGTTTAAAACCACAACTCAAAGATTATGCTTACCTGCAAATCCAAGTTAGGCTTCGTATTAGCATCAAATATTCGACGAATGCTCTCTGCAGCACGCACTGGAACTGTGCTTTTCTCAGTGACAATTTTATAGCCATTTGAGTTTTGTACAATTCGCCTAGCACAAGCTTCAATGTATTTCAGATCAGCTGCTCGTCCTTTTCCCATGCCATAGGTCTTTGTTGGAGTGTTAACCTATTTAAAAATACATGGAGGGGGGAAGAAATGTCACAGTTCTCTTAATACAAGAGCTACTGACAAGGTGAAATTGTTAAGAATAACAGACATTTTCCTTCCCAGAGTCCAGCTTGCTTCTACCCCATAATTATTCTAGCTACCATAGCTAATAGCTGTTTATCTGATTTCTCAAATACCCATTTTGTCTTCTAAAGAAAGCTCATTGGCCTCTATTCAAACAGAATTTAAACAAGAGCAATTCATAGCAGCTCTGCAGGCTTCAGTGAAACTTAGTCCTTATTCTGGAAACACCACTAATTTCTTCATGATTACAGCCCATCACCTTTTGTTTCCCATCCCACATAGGAGCACAAAAATTCACATTATAAGAAACTTGCAGCTAATAAGGCAGTTACAGTTCAAACCCACTTTGCAGTGAAATCTAAGTGCAGAACTGCTGAAAACTGCTATACTGAAGTACACAGAAGAGGCAACATGAGGGAAAACACGTCATTTAGATTAAAACAGAGGGTTCTTTTCATTACAATCTGAAAGAAGAAATGGCAACAATATGTAAAACACAGCAACATGTTTTAAACGAAGAACAGGTGGCAATATATGGCCTGTATTAGTGGCAGTCATCCAGCCAAGCAGCATTCATTTTAGACTTAATGAATGGAGAGAAATACTATCAGAAAGAGAGCTCTGTACCGAGGTGCCCTAACAAAGAGGAGCTCTCAGGAAAAGAGGACATAAGTAACAAAAATAACTCAACTGTGGCCTACCAAGATGAATAGGAATCAGTTCTTTTGGATTCTGCATCAGAAACAACCTTCCAGACTACAAAAGGTCACACTGTTTATGTTTAACTGGATCCTCTTCCTAGTGGTGTCAACAGCTTAGAAATATTAAAGCTAGAAATTATTAAAGCCAGCCCCTCTTCCATTAATACACTTTTAAAAGCTTCTACAAATAAGTTATCTTTGTTACCCAATAATCAGTATTATTTTGCATCCCTTTCTAGGAACCACATCAATACTAGTAACACTCCATGGACTTCAGTAGTACACTGAAATGACAGAGCTACACCATATTCTGCTCGAAGACCCCATACATCTAACCAAGCTAAACATCAACATGATCATTTTGACTTAGAGCCTGTTCATTTGTCAAACATTCTGTTGGCTACAAGAAACAGATAAAATAAAAAGCTTACTTATCACTCTTCCCACAGTATACATAAAGACAAGGAGAAAACTGTGACACAATGACATGACATTGTTAACTGAATCTATGACAAAATAAAGGTCTCTTCCTAATATACGGGCAACATGATTTGATAAAAAAGAAAAAAGATAAACACACACAACCTTCTCCCCCTAAACTTACAGAAATAAATACAAGATCAGCTTCTCTAATTGCATCATCAATACTGGTGGAAAAGAAGAGGTTTCTTCCTCGACAGGATTCTACCACTTCTTTTAACCCTGGCTGAAAAAAAAAAAAAAGGCAGAAAAAAGCAGTTAAGGTTAATGCAGTTAAAATAAACTGCGTGCCCAAACACCACATCATTTCAGATAGAGAAAGACTTTTCGCTCAGTGTGGCAAGTTTTCAGTCTGCCAGATGTAAAGTAAAGCTTTTGTATTTTTACATAGCGAAAAAAAAAAAAAGCCCTTTCTTATTCAAAACACTCAAAATGCCATCTTGAAACTTTCAGCAACACTTAATTGTTATTTGCACACATTATCCCCATAATTATATTACCATGAGCAACAATTAAAGAAATACCTGTAGAGTGATGTTAAGTAAATTTAAGAAGTTCTACAATATTCCCTAGGCTGCAAATAAAAGAGGTGATCCCTACTCTCCTTTTCCCTCAGCTACACGTTCCATGACCTCCCCAACACATCAGATCTGAAATTGAAGGAAAGAAAAATTCACTGCACAATGACTCAATTTTACAGTCTGAACTAATTCTTGGCAGTTTTCGTACATTCTTTGTATGCAAAGGACACCATTCCAGGAAACAGATGTGCAAGTTTCTTTTTTTTTTTTAAACATGCCAAGACTGGTCTACTTTAACGCATTCAGGCCAAGTGTTTATAGAAAAAAAAGTACTTGTTCCATGATCTTTATTCAGGCATCACCTGCTAATTTGAGCACTATACACATTTTCCTCTGAGTAGGTACGACACAGGAAGTCTATTAATCTTTGCTTAAAGAGTCACAGTATAAGTTTGTTTTTAAGGAATAAAAAACCCCTAAACACCTAGATTAGTGTTATAGCACAGACAGGATTCAGAAGACTTCTTACAGCAAAAGAGTAACTGTTGGTACCAGGCAACATCTTGTCTTTGGAAGACAAGTGAAGATAAGTATTAACTTCCATTAAAGAAAAGAACTCAAACCTATAAAAACTATATCTCATTAAAAAATGTAAGAAATAAAATAGACCTATTATTTAAGATTGAAAAGGAGTTAAAAACAAGTGCTAAGAAGAAGGGAAATAGAAAAATGCTTTACATATCTTCAAATTAAAGTAATTCTGTAATGAAGAAGTGACAATGACACACAAAAATAATTTTTATCCAGCCTAGTCTTCCCAGGCCAGATTGGAGGTTTATGGTACAAGTGAATCAGAACATGACTGTCCTTGTCTTACAACATGGTTAAGATGGGCAGCACAGATTGGATTTTTGCAGTATTCAGAATGGGAGTAAAGCTTACCACCCAATATTACACATCCATATTATACTACAACACAGCAGGTAATATCTATAACTGACCAAGATGACTACGTTATGATTATATCAGGTCCTGAAAGCAAGACAGCATGATTTAGCACAATTTGCTGTATGTAATCACATCTTTCCTCACTAGGCATTTCATATATAATCCTTAAACACCTGCCTTCACCAGACATATTATTTCAAAAATCTGATTTAATGTAGTAGTGACAAGCGGCTGTTCTAGAATACCCTTTTTGACGGACATCACTGTACTACACTTATCAAGCTTCAGAAGCGGGCCAACGTGGAAGTGCCATGTGGTGGGGGGGAAGCAAATGCAACATTGGCTGGATGAGGAGACAACAGTGAGACAGATTTACCTCGTAGATTGGGAGCGTATCTGAATTCCAGGCATTGATTCTGGCCTCATTTACATCGACAACAGTAACTTGGATATTGGGACACATCTGTGCAATAACACTACAGGTTGGCCCACCAACATAACCAGCACCAATGCAGCAAATCTTCTTAATTTCAAACATGATTGCTCTGGGAAGAGAAAGGGAGAACAAGGAGAATTCAGGAGCTATAAATTAAAATATCAGACAACAATTCGAGGGAATAAAAGAGAATTAATGAATTGAGACTTTGTTAGGCTGCCACAGGGAGAAACATTCTCTTACAGCTGACCTCTCGAGATGAGCCGCAACCGCTCTCTCCCGCCCGGGAGGGCTCCGGAGCCCGCACACGAGGGCCACTGAGGAAGCGGTTTCTGTGGGCGCTGCGGAGCCTACCAGCGTACATACCGCCCCTCGGG